GGTTTTGGTGTCCCTTTTCTCAAGAAAAGTTGACACGAGAAAGCCAGGTGTTTTGGGCCCATGTTTGTGTAAAGAGCTCATCAAAAGTTTTCTAAGAAAAAGCAGTGTCACCTTTTATGCGATGTCAAAGTCCATGGGCCAGAAAGATATGTTAGAACTCTGTGCTTGAAGATTCTCAATCGAACAAAACCCAGAATATTGTAGGGCTACCCCTCCCCTCCCCTGGCGCACAGGATCACAGCAGCAAGGGGCCTTTCCATCTTTGCTTCATGGTTTGGTAACCACTAACTAGGACGCCTGGTTCCACCTCAGCCGGGTCTCTAAAAGTAACTCCCGACTTTTTACGGGGAGTACTGTCACATCGGAGGTGACGTGACGATGAGTCCCTAGAGTCACCCCCATTCCTAGTCCTTGCTTAGATTCTTCCCGTTGTCCGTAGATGTCTCTTCTCTGCGTGGTGTGAGCTTGCTTTGCTCTGCCCTGGCTGTTCAGTATTAACATAGAACAAGCCCTTCCACTCTGCTCGCAACTTTTTCAAGGTGTCTGACCAGGTTTTATCAGATTTTTTCTTTGTGGTGGTTTTGGATTCATCTTTGTTCCCATTATGTTCTGTGAAGTAGAAACGCTTTGAGTGTATTTTTAAGTCAAAAACACATTTTTGCAGCAGTGAATTTTGTTTTTAGCCAAACCCGAGTGAACTTGAACAGAAGCAAGTTGATTCTGGGGGGGGGGGCAAGGGCAGTCCCAAGAGGAAAACAGGACATGGGGTATACTGAGGGGCCACTCTGTCCTGTGAATGATGAGGCCTCTTTTCTGGGGTCAGGTGAGTGCCCAGGATAATGATAGGGCTTTACTTTTTTTTTTTTTAAGAATTTATCTATCAGGGAGAGAGTGAGAGAGGGAACACAAGCAGGGGGAGTGGGAGAGGGAGAAGCAGGCTCCCCGCTGAGCAGGGAGCCCAACACGGGGCTCGATCCCAGGACCCTGAGATCGTGACCTGAGCTGGAGTCAGACGCTTAACCGACTGAGCCACCCAGGCGCCCCAGTAGGGCTTTACATCTTTTTTTTTTTTTTTTTTTAAGACACAGCGAGAGAGGGGAACATAAGCTGGGGGAGTGGGAGAGGGAGAAGCAGGCTTCCCGCGGAGCAGGGAGCCCGATGCAGGGCTCGATCCCAGGACCCTGGGACCATGACTTGAGTCGAAGGCAGACACCTAACGACTGAACCACCCAGGCACCCCATATTCTAGGCTTAATCTTCACATTTGCTTTGGCTGAAAGGAAATCTCATCTCCCAGGACTTAATCCGTCCTGATTTACTCAAATGGGTGGGATGTAATCTTAGGAGATCACTGACTGGTTCTAGTTGATTAAGTTTTACTTAGTAGTAACTCAGGATCTGGTTTTATTGAATCTACTTTAAATCACTCTTAAATGGTTCCTTAGGGACACAGCAAAGGCTGTGGGATCCTGGATGGGCACCTAGAGAAGTCCTGCCTAAACTGGCTGTGGGAGAGTGAGTGGTGTGGTCGGGATGGCACGGGCGCAAAGCCTGGGCGCCCAGCTGCTGCTGTTGCAGCAGGGCCCGTGGCTGGCATCTCTGCACCTGACAGTGTGCCCAGGTTTTGTGGAAGGGGGTCTGTCGGCCACGGAGTAGGGAGTTTAGAGGCTGATCTTCAGACCCAAGGTCAAATTTGAGAGCCAGTCGTAATGTGCCCAAGTGTCTGACAAGCCTAGGTGCTCTTTACACGGATGAGGTGACACTGGGTTTCTCTTGCTAAAATTGAGCTCTGTGAGAACGCCAGAGTGACTGAGGCTGTAATAAATCCGCCCCCAGTCCCAGAGATCTTTGGGAGTAAAAGTCTTTTTGAGAGGTGTTTTCATGACGAGGGATTTCCATAAAGACACAAGCAAGTGCTTGGGTGAGTCACCGTCACTGCCCCTGTGCTCATCACATGCCTCAGGCGGGCTGCCTGCTGGTGACATTACTGGAAATGGCTCTTGCCTCAGATGGACCGTGTGGCCTGTGTACTCCCCTGCTAGTGGCCACCAGGGCATCCCCTGCCCCCCACCGGTGTATCCTCTCCTTGCAGGGCACTCTGATTCCAAGCTGAGTTCTCCTGGGCTCAGGAAGGCCCTGGGGGTGAGGGGGATGTAACCTCAGTCAGGTGTCACACCCAGTGGGCTCTCCTGGCACAGGGTCTCAGCGCCCGCCCGCCCGCCCCAGTGGCTAGGGAAGCAGAGTGAGTATAGTAATTCTGATTGTGTATTAGCCAAGTATATAATTTTCTAGTTGTTTTGTCATCAAAGTTTCAGAGAGGCAGTGATGTTTTGTTACAAAAAAGATTTTTTAAAAGATTGAAGAACACCACCCCAAACAAGTGAATAAAAAGACGTCGTGGTAGTTGTCCCGCCTTGGTGGGAGGCAGGCACCCCTGCGGGGCAGGGACTGCTTGGGGTTGCGGAGCTGCATGCTTTCAATAGACGTGGACGGGTACCGAAGAGCCCACGTGTGTTCCTGACCTGGCGCCCACGTGAGCCAAGTGGCTGGGATGCTGCCCCCTGGAAGTGGCAGGTGCCCCGATGGACTGCGTGCCCGGGCCTCCTGTCCAGCCAGAGGGGTGGCGGGGAAGTTTCCGAGTGCGGCTAGGTTGGCTGAGAGCACCACAGGTTCCCAGCCACTCAGTCAGCGAGGAACAGGTGCCAGGTGGGAGCGTTGTGTTGTCGGTGGTATTATTCACAGGATCGAGCATCCTGGGTTTGGTGTTGAAGGATGGTGGTCACAGAGGTCCAGAGGCAGTCTCTGTCCTGCGAGGAGCCCCCAGCTCACATCTAGGACGTGTGTTGACTTAGAGCTGCTGCTGGGACCAGGTGTCCTAGTTGTCTGACCCTGGCTTGTCTATCTGGTGTTTGTGCATCAGTGACATTGGGGGTACAGTTAGCATTCCATAGGTGTAGAGGACCCCCAGGGCAGCGATGGGGGGGATGGCACCCCCAGGAGGGGTGGAGGCAGCAAGCCACGGCACTTCAGTGCTTGGGACCCTGACACAGCCTGCGGGAGGTCACTGTGCTCTGTTGGCACCAGCTGTTTGATGGGAATTTCTTGCTCCTCGAAATCAGAAGAAATCAGAGACCCCTCTATTTTTTTTTTTCTTTAAAGATTTTATTTATTTGACAGAGAGACACAGAGAGGGAACACAAGCAGGGGGAGTGGGAGAGGGGGAAGCAGGCTTCCTGCAGAGCAGGGAGCCCGACGCGGGGCTCGATCCCAGGACCTTGGGACCATGACCTGAGCCGAAGGCAGACGCTTAATGACTGAGCCACCCAGGGGCCCCTATCCTCTTCTGGTTGCGGGCAGTGTGGCTGTCCCCCCTGCACCCACCCATGGAGGTAGCATTTCCATGCATGTGGAGTGGAATGCTAGCAGCATGTGCCCTGGGCCCTGGAGGTGGGGCCCTTTCAGCCCAGAAATGAAAAGAGGTGAAGGTAGCAGCATGCTCACTCCCGGCTGCTGACAGGTGGGGCCGTAAACACCACTCCTTCCACTGTACTGAGTCCCTACTGCTTAGAAGAGGAGCCTCAGTCCCAAGGTGCCAGCTCTCCTACGCTTGATCAGAAGAAAGAGTTCCCTGTTCAGATGGCGGGGGAGCGGGGTGTCCCCAGACGGTGGTGCTGGGGCCTTGGTGTCCCAGGTGAAGTGGCAAAGCTGTGGTGTGTCTGTAGATGGGGACAGACCCCGGGCGGCAGGGACCGTGGGCCAGGTCAGAGCCCTCCCTGCAGCCGAGCACCCCCTCGCAGGGGAGGGCAGAGTCAGGGCCACCACTGCAGGCGTGTGTGTGTGTGTGTGTGTGTGTCCCCTGAGGGCCACCATGCAGGCGTGTGGGTGTGTGTGTGTGTGTGTCCGTCCCCTGAGGGCCACCACTGCAGGCGTGTGTGTGTGTGTGTTGTGTGTGTCCGTCCCCTGAGGGTCACCACTGCAGGCGTGTGTGTGTGTGTGTGTCCCCCCTGCACAGCGTGCTCACACTCCTGATCGCCATCTTTCCTGGAACAAGGTGCGGGAGGCTCTGGACACAACGCCCCTGGGCTGCAGGGGGCTGGCACAGGCGCCTGACGTCCTAGGCCCTGGGCCGTGGCCCCGGCCGGCTTGACCCCGCCCTGTGTGACTGGCATGATGCTCTCGCCCCCTCTCGCAGGCAAGGTCCCGGGTGACGATTGCCCCCTGGTGTGGGGCCAGTGCTCCCACTGCTTCCACATGCACTGCATCCTCAAGTGGCTCAACGCGCAGCAGGTGCAGCAGCATTGTCCTATGTGCCGCCAGGAGTGGAAGTTCAAGGAGTGAGGCACCCCCACCCCCAGCCGTGGACTGGCCAGCCGTGCTCTCCCCTGGGGTGGCCCCCCTCTGGGCGGTGACAGGGTTGACACAAGGACTGGGGCTGCGTTTGTTTTCCTTCAAATGGTGACACTTTATCCAATAAGTAAAACTCATTAAATTACCTGAACCTTGCTGGAGGCCTCTGGTTGCCTGTTTTCTTGGTCCCGATGCCGCCTCGCCGTGCGTTGATAGGAAAACTCATGAATAAACATCTCGATGAGATGCCACCAAAGCTCTGAGTCACAATCCCAGGAGGAGAAGGAGCGTAGGATCAGCCAGAAGAGCCTGGAGCCAGAGTAACTGGCTCTGGGGGCTTGAAAGGCCTGGTGGTGCAAAGGCGTGTGTGCCAACAGGGGAAACGGAACAGTGGCACTAAGGCCACTCACCTTGAAGCCAGGGACTGCCTTGCAGACAGGTCTGTGCGACTCTGACCTGGCATGGCTATAGCAGCTGCTGCCTGCGGTCACTTCTGCTGAAAGGCCGTCCCTGAGCAGGTGCTGGTGATCTCAGTCCCTTCTCCCTTGTTCCAGCTTGAGCGTCTGGGCTGCGACGTACTGTGTACGTACTCAGATGTCAAGGGCATCTGTGTCTCCAGGTGTCTGAGGTCCTCTACTTAGAGAAGAACAGCCTGTGGATGGCTCCTTTGGGCACCTCTGTTAGTCCACAGCTCCAGGTTGGGTGGCGTCTGGGGGCCATGACCCCAGCCCTGGGAGTCTTGGCTACTACTGGACAGACTGCTGCAGGCTGCATGTCCCTGTGAGCTGCAAGGAATCACTTGGCACTGGTTCCTTCCAGTCCATTCTCAAGGGACACCCCTTGGGGATCACTGCCCTGTGCCTCGTGGGTGGCCAGCTGCTGAGCACTCCCGACACTGCTTGTCCTCGGCACTCCGGTTTTGGCCTCCTGGTCAGTCACCCCTGGGGCTCCCTACTTGCTGTCTGGATGTTGTGCCCAGAGGGAAGGAAGCCCTGGGGACCATCACCCTTCCCCAAGCTGGAGGTCACATGCCCTGTGTCCAGAAACCCAGCTGCCAGGGCCCCGGGGCCGGGATCTGTCCTGGGAGGACACACCCAAAGGAAGACACATTGTGTCCAGGGTGTTTAGGGAGTGTGAGTGGAAGGAGGGGTGCCTGAGCAAGCCTACTGGCCCACGTCCTCTGGCAGCCACACCTGGTGCCCCTGGGGCCTGGGCTCAGCCCCCCTGGGTGCTCCCAGCAGCCCTGCAAACAAACTTAGGTCTGGCTTCCGGGGTTGGGTGGCTACTCTGTATTGAGCCTTTGTGTCTACAATGTCTTCGGATCCGAGGAGTCCCAGGGAGGAGTTCACAGCCCACTAGGAGTGGTCTGCAGCCCCGCAGAAGGCCCCTTGGGGCAGCATGGCAGCCCTGTAGCATCCTGGAGTTTCCTGAGCTTATCCCGGGCCCCCCCCCCCCCCCCCCCCCCCCCCCCCCCCTTGGGGCTTTTTTCCTGTGGCCCCGGACTTTGTGCCTGGGGCATCAGACCCTGAGTGCAGCCTTGCAGGCTTTCCGGCCTTGCCCTTTGGGGTGGATGTCCTCATTCTCGGAGGCGTCAACTTGCTCAAGGTCACGGCCCCTCCTGTAGACTGCCTACTTTCCTGCCACTTGGACTCCTCCGCACTGCGTGTCCTGGGCTCCAGCCTGGTCCCTGCAGGGCCTACTTGGCCTCAAGTTGGCCGTGCAGTTGCCCACCAGGTCCTGTCCACATCCAGCCATCTGTCTCCTCCCAGGAAGCTCAGGGCCCCTGCAGGGTCTTCTCAGGACTCCAGAACCTCAGCCCGCTCTCCCTCTCCCAGGACGCACAGGCTCACACCACCTGCCTTTGCAAACACTCCCCTGGCTTCCCGTTACCCCCCCACCTCTGGCCCCCCTAGTGCTCCCTTCTTTTCCCCTCTGGTGAGCGGCTCCAGCCAGCTGTGCTTTCCCATTTGGCTGTGGCTTGAGTCAGGGACTGGGTCTGATTCATCTCCTGTTGAACACAGGTGTTCGGGAGAGAAGGCCTGAGGCTCCCGAGGGCAGCCTCCCCGAGGGCAGCCTCCCCGAGGGCAGAGCTGGGTGGGAGGGGCCTCTGGGTTCCTGTCAGCTGTCCTTTGGGCCGGTTTCCAGAGGTCAGGCCTGGCCTTGCCGTCCACCTCCTCCTAAAGGACCCCACCAGTAGTAACCCTGTTAGTAGAAGCTTCCCCCATGGCTGTGAAACACAATGTGGCCCCGAGGCCCACTCAGACTTTGATGTCTCCTCAAGAAGCCCCGGCCCGGGCGCCTGCGTGGCTCAGTTGGTCAAGCGACTGCCTTCGGCTCAGGTCACGATCCTGGAGTCCCGGGGTCGAGTCCCGCATCGGGCTCCCTGCTCGGCGGGGAGTCTGCTTCTCCCTCTGACCCTCCCCCCTCTCGTGCTCTCTCTTATTCTTTCTCTTAAATAAATAAATAAATTAAAAAAAAAAGAAGCCCGGGCCCTGGGATCAGATCCCCTTTAGGGCAGGAGAAAGTGTTGCCTGGGCACAGTCGTCTCTCCCCAGCCTCATGAGCACCGAGGACCTGGGAGGGGTGGGGGTGGTAACTGTCAGGGCTGGCGCGCCCTAGGGCTAGCTGGGGGCTCGGTTGCTGCCCCGCTTGCCCCCTGCTCGCACTGAGGCCCTATCCAGGCAGGACCCTGGGCAGCGGCCGCGGCATCGCTCCACCCCCCCCCCGCCCCCCGCTCCCGGAAGGTGCCGGCAGGGGCGGGGAGGATGGGGGCGTCGGATCCCCCCCACAGGCGCTGCCCCCCCCACGGGAGGCACGGCTTCTTGCCGCGACAGGGGGGGCCCGACGACCGCTCTGCGCCCGCCCCCGCGCCCCGCTCCGCAGATATAAGGCGGCCGCCGCCGCGGCTCCGAGCCCCACCGCCCGCCCGCCGCCCGCGTCCCCATGGCCCGGTCCGCGACGCTGGTGGCCGCCGCCCTGGCGCTGTGCCTGCTGCTGGCGCCAGCCGGCCTCGCGTGGTACAAGACGGCGGCGGGGCCCAGCTCCTACTCTGTGGGCCGCGCGGCGGGGCTGCTGTCCGGCTTCCGCAGGTCCCCGCACGCGCGCCGCTCCGAGCCCCCAGCGAGCGCGGGACCCCCGGGCCGGGCGGGCGCCGTCGTCGAGCCGGGTCCGCGCCTGCGGAGCCTGGTGAGTGCGGCCGGCGGGGCGGGCGGGGGCCGGGGCGGGCGCGGGACGCGGGGGGCGCGCGGGGAGGACCCTCAGCCTCCTCCCGCCCCCAGGCCGTGTGTGTCAAGGACGTGTCCCCGAAGCTGCGGAGCTGCGAGCGGCTCCCCGACGGCCGCGCCACCTTCCAGTGCCAGGCGGACGTCTTCCTGTCGCTGCGCGCGGCCGACTGTCGCAGCGCGTGAGCCCCGACCCCCGCGCCCGGACCTCGCTTGGCCCTCGCCGCCCGGCGCGGGCACCCCAGCGCCCCCCTCCACCCGCGCGCTGAACGGCTCCCTGAATAAACGAGAAGCGCAGCTGGCCTCCGAGTGGGCGCGGGCGGGGCGGGGGGATAGAGCTGCGGACCGGGCAGGGACCCGCCAGTCCCCAGACCCCGACTCTGCCGCCAGACACCCCCGGCGCCCCCTGCCCGCCCCCCCACAGGTCTCAGGCCACTAGCCTACCCCGGAACAGCCTGCACAGGGGCACCCCACGTCCCCGCTGTCTCCCCGCCTTTGTCCACACAGCTCCGGGATCCCCCAGGGTCCTCCAGGAGCCAGTTCCATGTTTGCCCTCACAGCCTCCTCCGACCACCCCACCCCAGGTGGCCCTCCTGCCTGGGAGAGTCCCACTCCAGGCCTGCCTTGCTTCCGGGGTTTCCCGAGGACAAAGCTCTTCCTTACTGGAGGGGCAGCTCCTCAGGTCACTCCTTTCTTGGTGTCCCCTCAACACACCTCAAAGCACTAGGCACAGGGCAGTGAATCCATCTGTTGAATGAGTGACTAGGCCACAGGGCAGGATGGGGGGGCGGCTGGACACGAAGTTCCGGGGTGGGAAGGGGCTGCTCACAGGCCGGCCCAGCACTGACAAAGCTGGACGCCGCCTCTCCTGAGGCCGGCGGCTCTGCATTCACCTCTCCCCTGACCCACAGCGAAGCAGGTGGGTCCCCACAGCCGTGAGTGCTGACGCGTGGCTGCGAGGGACCATGGCTCCGCAGCAGTGGCCTCCCTTGCTCCACACTCAGGCTTAATTCCCTACTTTACTTGTCAGAATCTGGGTTCATTCCTGCCCCCAGCCCCACTGAGGCTGCCCCTGAGTTCCCTTCCGAGCTGGGTTCCAGGGGGCAGGAAGGTGAAATGAAGCCCAGAGCTTGTCTTGGGGTGTCCCCCACCCATGGGGAGTGGCTGGCCAGCTGGGCCTCGACTGCCCCCCCCTTTCAGGGGCTTTTGGGGGGGGGGTCCCACAATCCCACTGCACCTGAATGGACGTGTCTCCAGGGGCACTGACTTCCCGGACCCCCAGGATCTGGGCCTCCGCCAACCGTGTCCCAGAGGGCTCCCTGGCTGCCGCAGTCCCCAGCTTAGAGGAGTTGCTCCCGGGTCCTCACCCGTCCGAGTCAATGCAGGACTGGCTGGTCCCTCCTCGCCCCCCTGCTCAGGGAGCCCTGCAGCCCAGGGGTCCAGCAGTCTGAAGTGTGGGGAAGCCCAACACCACCGCACCCCTGAGGCTGGGGGCCCAGATGGGGTGGGGGTCTAGGGAGGGCCCTGTGCCTCTCACAACTTGCTACCCCAACTTGGGGAGGGAGGGAAGGAAAGCTGGTGGCGGCTGCCCAGCCAGGGGGGTGACGTGAGCTTCCACGGTCACTTCCCTTCCATTTCCCGCACGGGGTTCTAAGTTAGGCCTCGTGAGTAGTTACATCGGAAGAAAAAGACAGGCCAACCGATCAGAGGAAAGGATGCCAGCTCTCCACTTCCATGGGGCCGGGCTACAGGTGCCGGGCCCCACCTGGATCAGCAGCTGAAGGACGGATGCCCTTCTGGGGGAAGGGGCCGAAAAGACACCATCACAGTCCTCGCCTTTAAACAAAACCAACCAAACTATTGCCCCCACCCCATCCAAAACGAAGAGGTGACCAGGGTCGGTAGCCTGCAGCTGCTGGGCTGCTCCCAGTGGGCCCTGATTTGGAAACCCTGAGATTCTCTGGACCCAGTCAGGGAGCCTGAGCCAATTCCTTTCTGGATGCATGGCCCTGCACAGAACCACAGGGAGCCAGCCTCCCACTGGCCTCGTGACAGACTCCGGGAACAAGCACCCACTGGGCTCTTGCCCCTCCCTCCGTTATGCTCCAAGGGAGGCAGCCTGAGGTGTCTGGGGGTCCTAAACTGGGGGATGCCTTGCTGCCAGGCTGCCTGCTTCCCCCCCTCGCCCCCCACCGTGTGGATGGTGGTGGGGAGCAGGGCCAAGAGCCGGACGCAGAATACCTCCCACCAGGTTTATTTGGTTGTTCACCAGCCAGTCAGATACAAAATCGAGAACAGTCTGTGGGGAGAGCAGCAAGGCTGGCCCGGGAAGTGGGGGGCACAGTGCCTAAGAGCCAGGCCCAGGGCACCAGGGAGCCCACACAGGAGGTGGCATAGTCTGTGCCCTGAAGAGGAAAGGGGGTGCCCCCTTCAGGTCACTGCTCCCCTGAAGCCGGCTTCCGGTGAGGCCAGGAAGGCAAGCAGTGCCAGGCGGTAGGGGTGTCCTGGGTCTGCAGGGGCTTGGGGGCAGGGGGGGAGAAGCTGGGCCTTCAGTGGCACACAGGGTGGCACCCCTCTGGCTGAAGGTGCCCGCTGCTCATCCCGCCCACTGGGCCGCTCCCCCGTGCTGGTGCGGAGGGGGGCAGCATCCTCCAAGAGGAGGCCAGGTGGAGAGGGAACACTGCAGCCTTGCTAAAAACTGTGGGAACCAAACCCTCAAGGCATGGGAAGCAGAGCAGGGAGGGGGCTGGCCCGTGGGCACGCTGCGTGACCACCCTCTGCTCAGAAGTCACAGTCGCTCTCCCTCTCGCGCTGTACCTCCTGCCGCCTCCTGGCCTCCAGGAAAGCCAGCTCCTTGGCCTCTTTCTTCTGGTTCCGGGCCTCGTACTCTAGCCTGGGGGCCGGGCTGTGGTGAGCTGTGTGCCCAGGCCTGGGGCCTCAGTGGCTGGCTGCGCCCCCACCGGGCTCAGCCAGGACCTCTCCCTCACCTGTTCTTGATGATGCGCTGGACGATGAGGTCCGTGGTAAGGTCATTCCCGCTGTCGATCTGACAGAAGATGCCCCTTCTCTTAGGCTCCTGGAGGCCAGAGGGTAGGGAGAGGAGATGAGGGCCCTCCTCTGGACCCCGAGGAGACTGCCCAGCTGCCTGGGCCTGGAGGGTCCTCAGCCCAGGAGGACCAGGACACTGGTAGGGTTATTCCCGCTGCTTAGCAACCTGCCTCCTCATCCCGGGAGGCCACTTGGCAGTTAACCCCCAGCCAAGCTCCCAGACAGGCACTGTGAGCCCCGGGGGGTGAGGGGGCAGGAGGCTGGGGACATCACACAACCACCACCTCGTGCCCAGCACGACCCACCTGGTAAGGATCTGAGCCGTCCTTGTCAGGCACGATTTCCGTCTTCCCGTGACATACCAGGTCCACCTGGGGAGGGAACGGGGCTCAGGGAGACTGGCGCCCTGCACTCAGAGGGCCCTCCCTGGGACCTGGCCCACTAGGAGCCTCACCTTGAAGTGGTCCAGGAGCTCTGCTGTGACCGCATAGGGGGCCCCGATCACCACTTCTGACACATACTATGGGGACAGAAAACACAGACGGTTAGCTCGGACGCTGCTAGGTCAGAGAGTGGTGGGAGAGGGCGCTCAATGGTAAGGAAGCAGGGACTCGGGGGGAGGGGGGCAGTATGGTGGGGCTGGCTGGCCGGAAGCTTGAGGCTCCTGGATGCCCTCACTGTCCCCTCCTCCCCACCGGCTTGGGCAGGAGACCCCACCCAGTGCACCCGCCTTGGCACATACCCGGCAGGCCAGCACGCTCAGGGTCCGCTCATGCAGGTTCATGATGGGGTAGTTCTTCCCCTTGTAGTGGTTGACCTCCTAGAGCCAGAGTGAGCTCAGGTGAGCGGGCAGCCTCGGGCAGGCGGGGGCTGGAATCTCCCCGGCAGCCCCTCACGGGCGCTCACTAGTGTGGGGAAGCCCCAGTCCCCAGGAAAAGGCCCCGGTGTGTCTCCTCTGCCTCTATCAGCACCCCAAGCCTCACCCCTGTGGGCCGCCTGCACCCAACCTCAACCCCAGGAGCCCCTCAAGGGCCCCCACACCCTATCAGCTGGCCAGGGAGCGAGACCTGGTCAAAGTGCAAGCCAGCGATGACGTATGGCCTCTCTGCCAGGCCGTACACCTTCTCCAGGAAGTCCACATGGCCGATGTCTGTGCCCAGATTAAGAAGCAAGTAACAGGGAAAGGAGCAGCTGCCCGCAGGACCAGGGGCTCCAGCAGGTTCCTTCGAGCTCTGCCCCAGTCTGGGGGCCATCCCACGACCCAGGGGTGCACACAGGGCCAGGGCGGGGCTGCCCTCCCACTTGGTCCCAGAGGATACGGAACAGGTCGAAGGCGCCAGCCACGTAGATGACCGTCTCCCCTGGCTGAGGTTCCTTCCCGGAAGCAAACTGGATGATCTTCTGAGATGTCTGCAGAAACTGTGACACCCCTGTCCAGGGGTTCCGCCCCCCAGGGCACTGGAAGCCGAGAGCACTCTGGTCAGTGACCGATGCCTTGCAGGCACGTCCTTGATCTGCTCCCACCCCAAAGCCCCTCTCCTGCGGCCGGGGCCGCCTGCACCTGCCTGTCTGTCTGGGAGCAGGTACGGGGGCGACAGCCCAGAACTCCAAAGCCCTAGCTCGGCCTGCCAGCTCACTGGGTCACATGTGTGCTCTTAGCAGGCACACACCTCTGGCAGGACACCGTGGGCTAGCCAGCAGTGCCGAGCCCACACCAAGGCCAGGCTGGAGAAGACCCCGGTGACCAGTGGGACGTGTGGCCCAGGGGTGGACACTGCCCTTGTGGGGACCCAGTGGCCTGAGCCACCTTCTGGTCGCCTGGGAGGAGCCTCCTGAGAGTGTCTCCCTGGCAGGTGTCAGGTGAGGGGACTACAATGGGAGAGACCAAGCCACCTGGTTAGAGGCCACCTGCTCGAAGGCAGTCCTTGCTCCTCCTCCGGGGGCCAGTACCCAGGCAGTGCCTGGAAGGCAGGAAGCTAGGTGAGCGTCCCGGCCAGCCCTCCCCCGGGGGCAGCCTGGGGGGCACCAGGTACTGGCCTGGCTAGTATGGGCAACACTCACCTTACCAAAGCTGTCTGCATATTCCCGGTACTCAGAGGATATCTCCTGAATGGAAGGATGGGGGACGTTGAGGAGCCTCACCCCCCGAGCCATGGTCAACCCCAGGGCCTCAAAACTTGCTGTCCTGGAGCCCACAGAGAGGCAAGGACAGGGCAGGTCGGGTGTTCCCTCCCTCCCAGCAGTGTCCTCAGCCCTGGGGCCTCGGGGATCCCGCCCCCGCCCCCCCCAGACTCACGTGACCACTGTGATGGGCCTTGGTCACCAGCAACATGCGGCCCACGAGGTCCGTGGTGGACACGCCCTGGGTGCGCCGGCACTCTCTGGGGACAGAGGTGGGGTCAGGGCTCGCATCCTGGACATGCTCCAAAGTCCCCGCCTCCAGCTCACCCCACCTGAGGGCGGCCCTGCTGCGGCCCAGCCCCCCACCACGCTGAGTGTGGACCAGGCAGCTCCGCGCTGCTCTCGGGCCGCGACAGAAACCAGGACCAGGAGCGCGGGGAAGGCCGCTGCGCTTTCATCCACTGAAGGAAATGACAGAGCAGAAGCGCGGCTAAGCCCCAAGTGTGCAGGGCTAGGCGGGCAGGTGCCCACCACACCCGTGTCCAGCAAGGCCGGGGGAACTCCAGGCCGCGCTGCTGGGGCAGAAGCCACCGGCCACCATGGCTTTCTGAGTTAGGTAACGAAAAAAACCCGCTCCCCGGCCACAGCCCCCATTCTTAGTGCTGGCCAGCCACCCTGTGACTATACGGGACCACACGGGACGGCACAGGTCCACGACACTCGAAGCCCCACTAGGCAGCATGTCCACCCTGTTCCGGTCCTGGCCATTTTCCTCGCAGGCAGAAAGAGCCTGGGGGGAGCTTCAAGCCCCATTCCTGACAAGGTGGGACCCTCACCGGGACTCACCTGTACCTCCCAGCCTGCTTCACTTCCTCGTAGGTGTCACGGCCATCTACAGTCAGCGTGATGTCATCTAAGGAGCATCACACGTGTGAGAATGAGGATTCTCAACCCAGACCACGTGGGCCTACAGGACCCTCAACCCTCATCCCAGGCTGGCCCCGGTGTGCACGGGTTCTTTCTGGGAAAGGACCCGAGGCCGTCTCAGATCCTCGAAAGGCTCGGTGCTGCTCCCCAAAGCGTGGGGAGGCCCCAGCCCCCGGCTACCCTCCGGCCCGCCCAGAGGCCCCGGCACTCTGGGCCCCAGCCCCACCCACTCACTGCCATGGACACAGAAGTCGCAGCTGTACTTGTCCAGTGTCTCCAGCGTGGTAACGTAGGGAGCCGCCGGCACCACCTCGTCTACCCACTTGATGGCCTGTACCATTTTGTACCTCTCCTCCTGAGTGAACACCGGGGGCCCCTTGTGCTTGGAGATCTCCTCTAGAGCCAGAGACAAGACAGATGATCTCTGCAGGGCTGGACCACAGGCTTGCTGGCCTCGGGAGCCCCCTCCCAGCACCAAGCAGAGTCTGTAACCACATGTGAGCTCATAGCAGGCAGCTCTCTCCCTGGACCCTCAGCCTGTCACAAGGGCAGGACACCACCCTGTCTCTATGGGCCAGTACAAGTGCTCAGGATGTGTTTGCTGGATAACTGCGTGGTTCCCTCACCCAACCAGAGTTCCAGACGAAGTCCTTAGACAACCAGGCGCTCCGTTCTCCAGGGTCCTGGGAACCAGGTTGTGCGGGGAGGGGAAGTGGGCAGCAGGGCCAGAAATGTGATCCCTTGGCTGCACTGCTCAACCGACCAGCTGAGCTGCAAGGTGGAAAGCCCTGAGTGGGCTCAGCCTGGGGCTGCAGGTGGCATGAAGCTGCTGGGCTGTGCTCTTCGCAAGGATGGCCTTGGGCCTGGCCTGACCCCTTACAGGGCCCTGTAAGGTCAAAGGCAGCAGCCCCAGCTTACCATCGGTGTGCACACCCACGATGAGGTAGTCGCCCATGGCCCGTGCCTGGCGCAGCTGGTTAGAGTGACCGTAATGCACCATGTCATAGCTGTGGAAAGGACAGAATGGTAAGTGCCTGTGCAGAGGGTGGGATTGAGCAGCTGGGAGTGGGGGTGTGTGTGGGGGTGCAGCCTTGCTCCTCTGGGGCTTCCTCAGGAAGGCCTTTGAGCAGCTGCCACTGGGAATTGCTCCAGGGTCTGGCCAAGCCTGGGCTTTCAGAGGGGAGGTGGGCACTCAGCTCCCCACACCACTGGTCCCTGGGCCAGATTTAACAAGCACAGCAGGGGCTGGGCTATGCCCAGGAACAAGGCCTGCTGGTCCCCAGGGCTGGTGAGCACACAGAACAGCCTCAGCTCCTCACAGGTGCCACAGAGCCCTGCCCTCTGCCCTCAGCCCCTCCTCTCACCAAATGCAAACAATGGGGGGCAGGCCCTTTAATCTGTAAACTGACATTAATTTAAACTGGGCTGGACTCTGTACTACCCTGAGGCAAGTGTACAGTCTTCGGGACCAACACGAAACAAAGTCTGACAAATGGGTGAAGGCTATTGCTAGTTTTGGAAATCCTGCTCACTCTCCCGTGGCCTCCAGAGACTCAGCGAGGCTTTGCTCTCTGGGGCCAACAACCACCTCCCTACCAACTGGTTCTAGAGCTCTTATCCTCAAATCTGCGCCTGATTAAGGAGTGACTTCTCAGCTAGAGGCCCACTTGCTCCGTGTGTGCTGCGGAGGACCCCCAGTTGGCCCCACACCAGCTCTGTTTCCTTCCAAAGCCTCACGTTGTCTCCTGAGTAGGTGACAGTGTCCCTGCTTCTCCAGGTGACTCAGGCCACCCGGTGCACAGAGCTCTTCCGCTCCCTGACACCTGTTACTCCCACCACAGCACACCAGGTCCCAGCACACAAGCCTGTGGGTCACACGATTCTGGCCCTGGGGTGAGAGAAAAGGAGAGTCCAAATCCAGCAGCCTGGCTGGCCCCTGAGCTCACTGGACAGGCTGGGCTGGGGGTGCACAGTTCGGAATGCAGGGTGGTGCTGGGTCTGGGGTGTGTCCTAGCGGCCATGGGTGGCCTGCCGCGGCAGGGGCCTGGTCAGACCAGGGCCAAGGTCAGAGTCCACCAACATGAAGCCATGCTCCCTCTACCCAAGGTGACTCAGGCACAGCTGCAAAGGTATGACAGCCACCCCCCCACACACCCTCGCTCTCCTCTGAACCCATCAACTGTTCTTTCTCTGGTTCCATCAGGTGAAGGTATGAGCAAGCATCACAACAGACGAGCTATCAGTAGAGGTCAGTTTTCCTCTTATCCGCTGACAGCCCCAAACTTATCTGGAAACTACTCCAGGTCTCGGCCGGCCAGAGGAGAGAACGGATGGGCACTGTGGCCCTCCTGGGAGGGGCCCCGGAACCCAGGGGCTTCACTGGGGGTCGTGGACACAGGCAATTCCTGCCCCGACGCTTGCCCAGACACCCGGGAGAATCCCTCCGACCTTGCGGCAGGCAGGCTGGAGAGCCGGGCACGGAGACCGCCGCGAAGACGCTCCGGGCGCACGGCTCCCCGGGTATGAAGTGATCCCGCTCGTCGGGACCGGACACACTCGACTCGCGCCACCACCGGCCAGACTCAGGCGGCCAGGCGGGCGGCTCAGCGGCGGATCCCGGAGCAGGAGCGCCCGCGTCCCCAGGAGGGCGCCGGGACCGGGAGCCGTAGGCCCGGGCCGCCTCCGCCTGCCGCTCGCTACGCACGGCCGCCCCAGGGCTCCGGGCCCGGCCGTCCCCGCCCCCGGCCCGCCCGCCGCCGCCGCCGCCGCCGCCGCGCTCACCAGCCGTCGCACCACACTCGCACGGCGCGCCTGCCTTCCGGACCCGGCGGCTGTGCACCGCCGGCCGCGCCGTGCCCGTTCCGGATCATGGCCCCGCAGCGGCGGCCCGGTGCGGCCGGCTCCGCGACTCCCAGCGGCCGCCGCCCGCCGGCCCCGAGCACGCCTCGGCCCGCCCCGCCCGGCGCACGCGCCGTCACGCGGGCCTCACCCGCGGCGCGCAGCCAATGGCGTGAGCCGCCGGAGCCGAGCCCCGCCCCGCCTGGCAGCCTACCGCGGGCCCCGGAGACCCCGCCCTCCGCCGCGCTGGGCCAATAGCTTGCGCGCACCTTGCCGGGGGGCGGGGCAAGACCACGTGGGGCTCCAACCGCTTCCCCGGGGAGCGCCCGCGTCCGTCTCCGCCCCGCAGGGCAGTCATTCGAGGACACGCGCGAGACAGTGCAAAGACGTTTAATAACAAAAAGGCCTGCTGAGAGCCCAGGCTCAAAACCGCCCCTCTGCCGCAAACCCAATTCAGAAAAAGTTGCTATAAAGTCACCGTGTTTTAGTAAGAAGCAGTAGAAACAGGCTTGAGGCCCCTGAGACTAGCCCGGTGAAGGAGGAAAGGCAGCCGTGTGCTTCCTCCTGACTGGCCAGTTGTGAAATAACCCGAGTTCTGTTCTCGCACAAAGGCATGGCTGCCACCTCTCTAAGAAGAGGCTGGACAGGCCAGGTGTCCTCCGAAGGCCCATGCCCGAGGCGGCCACAACAGTGCAAGGGGCTCCCGCTAGGACCAAGGGCTAAGCAGTCCTCCCGGGAGGATGCTCACGGGACCCGGGGGCAGTCCTGGCCTTGCCCCTGAATCAGAGTTCCATCATCTGCAAAGTGCCAATTGTTCTTGTCCAGCACCAGGTTACGTTTTCTTTCTTTTTGTGCGTTTAGTGCAGCCCTTGCCAAACCAGCCACCTAGGACGGGGGCTGAGCTAAGTGGTGCACCCCGGTCTCCAGGCGGGGGCTCTTCCCGGCTTCTGCACAGCGATTTCCGTGTGTGGCTCCCTTCTTCACCTGCACGTAGGGGAGTCGCCAGGGAGAAGATGGGGTCCTGCCACCTACCGAAAAGGGAAAGCTAGGTCAGGCATGCCTGGGAGCCTCTGGCACAACCTGCCCCAGGGCGGGAAAGCTGACTGAGGTCGCCCTGCTTCCCTCCCCCTTGTCTTAACTGTGGCCAGGCTTTGCTTAGTGGCAGATCCACTGTTCCTGAGCTACAGAACAGCTACAAGAGGGGTAAGCTCCCCGAGTAACTCAAAGGTCAGCACTCACACTAGCTCAGCCTCTGCAAAACTCAGTGTCCTTGCTGGTGATGGAGCAGGGCGTGCACACCCAGGATGGGGCAGCAGTAGCCCCAAGAGGGGTGAATCACTAGTAACGCTGGACCCCACCTTTCACTTGTATGGCCAGGGGCAGGTGGACCAGACCCTCTCCCTCTTCCCAGACTGCAAGACTTGATGGGGGGGGGGGGAAGGCCAGCTGACTAGGGAGGTGTGGCCTATAGACTACACCATGAAGAGATCATGTGTCTGACTGAGATGTAGAACCACATATTATAAACTTAAGATACAGATAAGCACTGATAAAGAAAATGAGCTAAGTTAATGTAAAAAAAAAAAAAAAGTACAGTACACAATAGGCCCACATTACAGAACACCACAAACATAACATACAAGAATTGCCAGGCCCAGAAGGTGAAGGGATCCTTAATTCTTGAACCCTTTGATTAAAAGAAGTTATTGATTTCCCCTATAAGACCCTGAAAATTCACAGAGAAAGAAAGTGTAAACTTTTTACTCAATACATATACCACGTCTAAATTATCACAAATTCTGTATTAAGGTACAGTTTAAGCTTCCCCAAAGTATGCCAGCTCCCCAAACCAAGTGCACCAAGATTCTGTCTGACTGAAGTTGCCGAGACCACGTCCCTTCAAGGCACCTTCCCGTCCAGGCTGTCTTGAGGTAGAAGGGGGACTCTCCAGGTGCACACTGGCACATCCCCTCTCCCTGCAGGGAGTCACACCAGCCAGGGCGCCCTAGCTGATGCCTCAGCCGCTCCCTGCGGGGGCCACCAGGCTGCAGTCACACCTCAGACACCATCTGCAACAACTCAGAGCGTTCTCTATGCTCAGTTCACGAGAAAAGACAGACATGGCCCATCCACACAGGGGCAGGAAAAGGGGGGGATGCACCCGTGCCCCCCTCACCTGCTATAGGGGGGAATCTCCAGGCCCAGCTCATCCATGAGGAGCTGCATGACGTCATCACACTTCCCGTGAAGCTTCAGGGCAGCCCAGTCATCCTTTGGGGTCCACTGGGGACAGGGGAAGGCGAGTGAGGACACCTCACTTCCTCCCAATGGCCCTTTCTCAGCCAGACCTCTGTGGCCCATGAGTTCAGGACACCAACGTCCCAGGAACTCTGTTTCTCCTGTTCTAAGGTCCAGATCTAAAGAGGTATCTCTCGGTGCGCAATTCACCTGCAAGTTCACGATGTAGAGCTTGGGCCGCCGGCTGGGGGGCTTGGTCATGCACCAGAGGCGAGGATACTTCTTCAGAACCTGTAGGAATGGACGGACAGACAAAAACACCACACACACAATGGGGAATGAAGCTCTAGGAAGCTAGGGTCTAACACTGAACTGGCAAGGGGCTGGCAGGCTCACTCCCCTCCCATTCCATCCGTGGTGCTGTTCACGTACCTTTAAACTGGAACCTAAACATAGGATTGTGTCGGCTTTGCTGGCAGCCTGAGTGGCTGCCTCCCAGTTCAGAGGCTGCCCCAGCGTCCCCCTCTCCCCAAAGTGCACAATGGTGTCCCGGAGCTGGGCCCCGCACTTGTGGCAGGCCCGGCCCGTCTGGTGCCGGTGCAGGGCGGTGCGCTCGGTCACGTCAAACACCCTCACGTACTCCCTGTTGGGAGTGCAGGCTGTACAGACCTGAGGAGAGAGCACTGTGAGCAGGAGCCGATGGCCCGCACAGGCCCCCGAATCCCAGCGGGACCGCTCACTTCAATGTACATGTTCCCATGGAGCTCGGAGATGGCCGTGCGAGGCAGACCACTCCGCAGGTGGAGGCCATCGCAGTTCTGAGACACCACATGCTGCACCTGGACGGGAGACAAGAGCAAGGCAGCAAGGGGGCTGTGTTCAGCAGGGACACCATCCTTAACCCTGCCCAGAGCCCCCAAGTCGGGGGCGACTCCAACCCTGCATGAAGCCTAAAAGGCAAAACGAGAGAGGCAGGCCGGCCCCAGCACAACTTGGGAGGGCCCTCGGTGGGAAGGGCCCCAGGCTGCCCACAACAGCTCTGAAGCACTTGGTGAGCTAGGAGGGCAGGTGTTTGCTCTCAGCTGGGAAGGGCCCAGACTGACACTCTCTTGGCTCATTAGGTTTCAAGTCACTGAAGGACCGGGAGGATGGATCCTTCCCCACTTGGCTGAAAGTACTCAGCAGAGGGTCCCCAAAGGTTTCCCATGAGCTTCCCCTTTATCTAGGTGGCTTCTGAGATCTGTGTGGACAATGTGATAGAAACACAGGGGAGAAAGAGCCACCAGCAGCTCTGGGCCTGAGGCAGACCCTATACATGATTCCTGAAAGACACTCAAGCCAGGAGTCTAAAACACTGGGTAAGCGCTCATGCCACGGGTCCAATGGCTGACAGAGACACGATGCAGTTGCTATTTGGGCACGAAGGTGGCCCTCCAGGTTCTGCATCAGGCACCCAGCAAGTATACTTGCTAGCCACATACTTGCTAGCCGCACCAGGTTCTTACCAGCTTTTGCTCGTGTAGGCGGGCGATGCTCATGTGGGTGAGGGTTGGCTCAGCCTCACTCAGGTCAGCAGCACTGCCAGGTGGAAGGGAAGCACAGGTGTGGGGAGCTGTGAGGGCAGGCCCATGCTGCCTCTGCTCGACTGAGTGGGAAGGCTGCCCTGGGCTGCTTACCTAACGCTTCTCCCTTTCTGAAGCAGTGTCCACACTCCATTAGGGCCCCGGTAATCTGGAATAGAGGCTGCCTGCACATTCAGAAAGAAAATAAACCCAGTGACAATGCATCACTGTAGGAACTGGCAAAATTCGCAAGAGTGAAAAGCAAACGTTTCTCTTAACGTGTTCCAGGCTTGTCTGTGCGCTAGCCTCTATTCATTCCAGAGGCCCAGCGCTTCCTAGTGCAACCTGCCTAAACCCACACAGAGTGGCTCCTTCCCTCTGCTCAGACCCCTGCTCCCACCTGGTCTAGCTCATCCCTCCAGGTTCCAAGGAGTCCTAACGCCTCTGGGAACCTCTCCAGCACAGAGTACAACCTGGGCTCTGCAGCCACACCTGTCCTCTAAACCGAGGGAGAGGACCGGTCAGGCTCATCTGTGGGTCTCCAGGGCCTAGCCAGTGCTCCGGGAAAGTTTAGTAGTAGATGGTGAAACCCCAGGTAGGAGCACTCATCCGTCCCGATTCTTACATCCGGATAGTGTTTCCTGCCCTGCCTTCACAAAGATAAATACCACCGAATTTCTCTAGTTCTCAACCCAGTGAAATAAAGTCACCATGAGAGAAGACAGAAGGTGTGCCAGGATCAAGGAGTCTTGTGTTCCCCAGGCTGTGAGTGACCTGCCTTCTGGGGAGCCCTGTCTCCTCCCCGTAGCTTAAGCTCAGAAAAACGCCCACCCTGGACAGTGTGGTTCTGAATCACATTGAAGAGGAATGTCAGAAATGAGAACGGTAATGCTCAGAGCAAACTACAGAGCAGCACTCCCACAGATGACAGGAACACACATGTGACTGCAAGAAGGAGACCCCACTACCAGGGCTCCAGGGTCTGCAAGTCAGGGTAGTCAGCGCCCCTTACACAATCTCACTGCTGGGCCTCTGAGCTCATCCCTGTTTGGAGCGTCTTACTCTCACCCTTGCCTGTAAAACCCTACTCAGCTTTCAAGGCCTGGCCTCAATGCTGCTTTGCACAACAAGCAACCGGATGGCGTTCACAGCTCTGAGGGGGTGTGCGCGCATCTCCCCTCCAGCAACCTAGCACAGCCAGCTTTACCTGAGCTATCTGCTGACATGCCATATTCTCATCACTGCCGGGCTTCTTGAGGACAGAAATCCTCAGGGTTCACCTCTGCTGGCCTACA